TACTCTGGTGTCTCATGAGGTGGGAATTCTGACCAAAACTTTTTCCACAGAGAGGACATTCAAACATTTTGTCTCCTCTGTGAGTCCTCTGGTGTATTACCAGGTAGGAATTCCGACTGAAACTTTTCCCACAGATAGGACATTCAAAGTGTTTCTCTCCTGTGTGCGTTCTCTGGTGACTCACAAGGTTGGCATTCTGACTGAAACTTTTCCCACAGATAGGACATTCAAAGGGTTTCTCTCCTGTGTGAGTCCTCTGGTGTATAATAAAGCGGGAATTTGTAACAAAACCTTTCCCACAATCTCGACATTTATAGGTTTTCTCCATGGTGTTAATCCTCTGATGTATTACCAGGCTGGAATTTTTACTGGAACTTCTCCCACGGTCAGGATATTTAAAGTGTTTTTCTCCTTTGAGAGTCCTCTGGTATATCACCGAATTGGAATTACAACAGAAAGCTTTCCCACAATCAGGACATTCAAAGAATTTTTCTTCCATGGGAGTCCTTAACACAATCTGCACAGTGATATATTTTCTCCCTTCTGTGAGTCCACTGAGGTATCACCATGTTGCCATGCTCACTGAAGCATTTACTACATTGGAAGCACATTTATGGCTTTCCTCTTGTGTGGTTGCTTCCATGAACCACAAAGGAGGTGTTTTGACCAGTTTTTGCTATATTGAGATAATTTGTATGGTTTTTCTCCTGTCTGGCTTCTCTTCTGCATAATTAGCTGTGATTTGCAATCTGCTTTTCCCACAATAGGCAAATCTATGGAGCTTTTCTCCAGCTGATATTCTTGAGGTCAAAAATATGGACAATGCTTTTCTTCCTCACAGGTTGTGGTCTGCATTCCTGTCTATTCTACGTGGCTTTACTATTGACAGTTTCCTCCCCACTGACTTCCAGATATTTCCCTCTTTTGCTGAATGAAAAGTAATTTCCCTTGACATCATGTAATGTATCCTTGAGTTCTGCATAATCTACTTTTTCCCACTTGAAATCTTTTTTGATTTTCTCTCTTTTGTTATTTGAGGAGGATGAGAATTGTTGTTTTTTTCTTTGAAGGAAATGGAAAATATTTTGATTTATAGCTCGGTTTTCTTCCCTTTTCAGTGTTGCTTTTTATTTAAAATTGTCCCAGGTGCTCTTATTGTCATCCTCTTTATCTGTAAGATTCAAAGAAAAATGTAACCTTAATTGTTTATAAAATGGTTAGAGATTATGTAAAAAAAGAAAAATATGTATATTACAATGAAAAAGCAAACATGCTCCAATGCTACCATGTTTTCCTGAAAATAAGCCCCACCCCCCAAAATAAGCCCGAGCCTGATTTTTGGAGTGGGCCTAATATAAGCCCTAACCCAAAAATAAGCCGGTGAGTATAGGTGTTGCCAGCATGAGAGGTAGCAAGCACACGGGATGGGGTTGAGGAGCTGGTTTCACCCTTAGGGAGTGTAACAATTCCGAGCGTGTTGTGTCTCCTTTGTAGAAGGGGGGGGGGGGGAGGCCTATATCAATCACAGTGTTGTGCATGGAGTGGTAGGAGAAGAGAAAGCCTCTTGTTTCCTGTGTGCATGTCTCTTCGCTTTTCACTAAGTGTAAACACAGTGTGTGTGTGTGTATAGCGGAGGGTCAGGTGGGAGGGTGGCAAGGGCTCTGAGAGCGAAGGTGTGGAATTATGCATTAACCCAGCGGGCGGTGGGAAAGGTTTCTTGGGCACCACACACAACTCTATCCTCCACCTTCCTTGCTAGGTTCCACGGCTGAGGGGCGATGGAGCAACCTGCACACAGCTGGCAGCATGACTTTTGCCCGTCTCTTTCTGGATGAGGCACTTCTGCTTGTTGGGCTGCTAACCGAAGCTGGCAGCTCCGTGGCCAGCCACTTTGCTTTTTCCCCCTTTTTCCTCATGGGACACTCCCAAGAGGCTTGCGCGGTGGCACCAGCAGTAGGCAAAAGCAGAAACATGGGGGAGGCACAGGCGATTCCCAACGTGCTGCCTACTTCATCACACCATCTCTCGGCTTGACTGTGACTGTGCCGAACAAGCCCCAGCATAGGGTGTCGGAATTGCCTGCCTACCTCATGCCTCTGCCGACTGCCGTTGCTGCCATACAAACCTCCCATGAGCCAGGCAGCTGTACAGCATTTCCAGATCACCTGTTTTCCCCCCGCCAGACTCTCACTCCACACTCAGAATTAAAGATATTTTCACTGTGTCAAGAAAGCCGACACATGCTGAGAGCTTGGCATATTGCAGCCATGGGAAAGCAGACAGTCCAATGGATAGGGCGGGGCCTGAAGTAGCTCTTAAAAAAAATGAGACCTCCCTCAAAATAAGCCCAAGTGTTTATTTTCAAGCCCAAAAGAAAATAAGACTGAGTCTTATTTTCGGGAAACATGGTAGAATAGTCTCTTACTTACCTTATTTATGATTCATTTGATACATGGAAGACTACTGAGATCCATGTTCAAATAACCATTCAATCAAATTCAGTTGTTTAGTTGGGTCAATCACAACTTCTTAGCAATGCAAAGGAGTATCAACAATTATACATTGAAGTGCTGGAGACAGATTGCAGACATATCCCTATGGAGAGAAATACAGATATATCAAACTACATGCGTATTCATGTGAAAATCTATCTCCTTCAAAGTTGACAATATGTCCCAAAATGGTTACTTAAACCTTCTGAGCTAAATTTAGAGATGTGGGAGCTTTAACTGATACAATGGTTGTCGAAAGCCTCTGCAAGATTTGAAGCACCACTTTTCTTCATGGAAATCCTCAGCAGCAAATAAGAGCAAAAACACTGTCCACGAGTACTCTGGTGACATCCCCCCTCAAGTAGACCACACTTAACCTGCTGCAATTAGAACTGATATCTGTGTTACTAAGCAGCCCAATCATTAAACAATGACTTGATTCAGAAATCTGATGCAGTTCCAATGTTCAAAAACAAGGTGGGGTGGATGTATTCACAAAACCACAGACCAACTAGACTGATATCAATGCCTGAAAAGATCCTGAAAAAGATAACCAAGCAACAAACACCTAGAATCAAGCAAACGTATAATCAGAAGCCAACGTGGGTTTGTTGAAAAAAAAATCATGCCAAACAAATCTTATTTCTTTGAGCAAGTGACTAAATTAGTAGACCAGCAAAATCTGTGGACACAGTATACTGGAATTTCAGTAAGGCATTTGATAAAGTAGACCACAATTTACTTCTTGGTAAATGAAGAAAATGTGGGATAGATAGCATCATGATTGGATGAATTTGTAACTGTCAATGGAATTACATCTATATGGAGGAAAGTAAGCAGTGAGGGACTCCAAGGCTCTGTCTTAGGCCCAGTATTCTTCAGTATCTTCTTCAGTATCAGTATCTTCATAAACAATTTCAATGACTGAATAGAAGGGGAATTCATCATATTTGGAGATGACACTAAGCTGGCAGGAATAGCCAACACCCCAAAAGACAAACTCAAGATACAGAAGAATGTCAAAAGATTTGAATACTGGGCCCTAATCCAAGAAAATGAAAATTCAATGGAGAAAAATATATGTTTTACTTAGCCAAGAAAAACCAAATGGCAAGGTACAGAATAGGTACAACCTGACTCAATAGCAGTAACTGTGAGATGGATCTTGAAGTCCTAGAGGACTAACACCTAAATATGAACCAGCAATGTGATGCAGTGGCCAAAACAACTAATGCAATCCTAGGCTGCCTTAACAGAGGGCTAGAATCAAGATCACATGAAGTGTGAGTACCAATTTATAATGGTTTGGTAAGATCCCACTTGGAATACTGCAACCAGTTGCCACAATATTAAGAAGTAGAAAAATTGTCTTGAGTCTCTATAAAGAGAGCAGAGAAGAGCAACAAAGATGAATAGGGGGCTGGAGGCTAAACTGTATAAAGAAGGGTTGCAGGAATTGGGTATGTCTAGTCTAGTGAAAGAAAGAACTAGGGTGACATGACAGCAGTCTTCCAATACTTGAGGGGTCAAGAAGAAGGGAGTCAACTTATTTTGCAACGCAGCAGAAGGCAACATAAGAAGCAGTGGATGGAAACTAATCAAGGAGAGAAGCAGCCTAGAACTAGGGAGAAATTTCCTGACTCTGAGGACAATTAACCAGTGGGAGGATTTGCCTTCAGAAGTTCCCATGGGGGCTCCATCACTGGTGGCTTTTAAACACACAGGACAGACATTTGTCTGAACTAGTATTGGGTCTCCTGCCCGAGCAGGGTGGAGGAACAGAAGACCTGTCAGGTTCCTTCCAACCCTGTCACAAACCTCCAGTGACGGAGCCCCCACAACCTCTGGAGGGGAGCCATTCCCTTCGCTTGAAAGAGGCTTTTGAGATCTTCTCCCCAGCAGAAAATTGCAGCCACCCGTTTCACAGCGTGCAGCCCCAGCGGGCTCCGATCTGGGGAGGAAAGAACCTGCAGGAGCAGCAGCTGACATGCTTCAACCCAGTTGCTTCTCTGCTTCCAGGCCATGGAGGGAACCGAACAGCCCGACTTGTTGCCGGACTCCCCTCCCATCTGCTGCCTCCAACTCACCTGCCAGCTGCTGCTTCCATCCTGGGAAGACCAGAAAACACCAGGTCAACAACCAACCGCTCAGGAGTGACCAAACTGACGAAGATCTTCTACGTTTCCTTTCTAGCAATACAGAACTCGATGGTTTTAACTCCTTTATTTATTGTGCACTTTTCAGGCACAGATGTTGTCTTCCTGATCTAGTTGATCTAACTGAAAACCATGTTGTTCCATCTCTACCTAAAACAGCTGCTGCACAATTTTTTTAACTGTGTTATTTTTTCGTTCCAATTATCACATGGATAATTTTTTCCCCATGATGATTATTCCTAACTTGTTCATTTGGGTCTCCCAAGGATTCACTCATCACCACAGAAAAAGAGGAAGCAGCTTCCCATGCAAGAAGCAAGTACCCCTCCTTTAAGGATCAGTCAAGACTTTTCCAGCCAGCTGTTGGTTGTGGGGTGTCTGTGCGCAGGACAATTCATGAACGCTTAATTTTGCAAGAGACAGAAACTTGAAGATGGAAGCTTGACCCTATTTAGCTTTCCAAAATTAACTAAGTTCAGGGCCTTAAAAGCTCATCAAGCACTTATTTGTGTGCAGAGTCCCTAGATTATTGCCAGCTTGCTAGTCTGATTTCATTAACAGAATAATGGAACATTCAACATCAATTCCCTATCTGTATTATTGGGGAGTGAATCTCACTAAAACACTCTTTCCACTGTCTGAAGTAAGATTTCAGACCTGAGTAATCCTGAGCAGAATATTTGGAGGGTGTTAGTTTGCAAATCAATAGATTCCTGCACTTTTGTAGAGGTTTGGCTGTCAGTAGAGATGATTACATCTCTACATCCTACACTTTTATGAGTGATTTCCTGTGGCTCCCAAGGATTTAGGAAGTGGGAACACCAACAGGCCAGAGACCCCAAGGGAGCAAGCTTCGTTCATGCAAGCCAGACTGCATCCAAGCATGTCCAGTGTCTATTTTATTGCTAAAGGAAGAAATTTTAAGTCTCTGAAATGCTAAATGCCATGTGCTTCTGTAAACTGTCTTGCAGAGGAGTCTCCATTAGGACAAAGCTGGAGAGAACATAGGGAGCAGAGACTAGAAAAAGGAGGCTCAGAAAGAGGATGACTGCCTATATATGGCAAGAGAAAACAAACTCCCCAACATGAGATTTGAAAGGGCTGTAAAAGTACATGCAAAAATGTATGAAAGGTTGCCCTAGTCTTTATGTGAAATGCATATTCTTTTTAATCTGAAATGTTTAAAGTAATATACAAAATAATTTTACAAACAGGTTCAGACAAACATCTCTTTAATTCACAACAGATAAGTTGTGTGGGGGGAGGCAGAACACACTCAGTGTTGCAAGATTTTATTACCTTCACTCTCAAATGTAAAAAAAAATGTTAGAATTTTCCTGTGGACTTGATCTCTTGGTCTGGTCTACCAAGTGAGCCTGGGCCTGAGGGACCTTTCATGGCTGAGGAGGGACTGCAATTTGGGTGTCCCCACTCCTAGTCCAGCAACAGCACCTTCCCACCTCTAGCACACCAGCTCTCTAATAGGAAAGCCATCCAGAGAGACTTGGTCTCCTCCCCATCAATCGCAGGAAGGAGAAGCCTGCAGGGTGGTGGTGAATGAACGTGGATAGTCCTCACTTAGTCCTCGCTTAGTGACCACAACTGTGACTGGCAAATTCTGGCAAACTGCTTTATTGCAACAGGTGTTTCACCTCACTTCCCTTCTGGTCATTAAGTGAATCAATATACCTTTATTTCGGTCTTCTACATGAGTTTTATCTTAAGCTTTTTGGGAAACACGCTAATGGTGATCACAGGATCAGGGGACAATGTGATGGTTGGAAATGCAAAGATTGTTTGCCAAACTGTTTATCTATCATCATAATCTTAAATGGTTGCTAAATGAGGCAATAGCCTCGTTATCCTAGCTCTCTCAACTGATCATCATACAATTTAGTATCCAGACCCTTTATCACCTTAGCTGCTCTTCTTTGCACCTTTTCCATAATCTCAACATCTTTTTTGTACTGTGGTGACCAGAACTGGATGCAGTTTTCTAAATATGGTCTCACTCGGTGGGATTCTACCAGTTCGCACCTATTTGCTAGAACCGGTTGTTAACATTCTAAGCAGTTTGGAGTACCAGTTGTTAGAAGAAATTACTGGCCTAATCCTGTAAGGAAGGCAGGAAGGAAACATTCTGGTGTTGCTTACAGAAACTACCTCCGTTAACCCTTATTACATTCTTGGCAGGACTAGATTTCCTGTCTCAGGAACTTCTCTGGAGTTTTTCTTAACCTCCTTTGCTGGTACTTTGCTTGTATGAAGTGACCATTCAAAGTTACAATGGCACTGAACAAAGTGACTTATGACCATTTTTCACACTTACAACTTTTGCAGCATCCCCACAGCCATGAGAGGCCAGGCAAGGAGATGCGTGCCTCGCTTTGATATTGAGTTGGCTATGCCCAGACAATAACATGACCACCAACTAAGCCACGCCCACAGAACTGGTTGTTAAAAAAATTGAATCTCACCCCTGGTCTCACTAGCATAGTGAGAAGCAGTACTATTAATTATTGGTGGTTTCTTCAAAATGCTCTCTGTCTTTTCCATCATGGGGACCTCAACTTTCACAATGTCTGTTGAATCAGATTCATAATTCGGAGAATCATCAGGGAAGTAAAATAGTATGGGAATACCTGTCTGATCTTGATGAACACAACTCACCAGGAAATGACGGATTGTATCCCAGAGTTCTAAAGGAGCTGGCAGATATTATCTTAGAACTAGTGTACCACATCTTTCAAAAATCCTGAGAATTGGAAAACCACCAGAGGCCTGGAAAAGAGCTGATGTGGTTCTCATCTTCAAAAAAGGGGGAAAAACAGACTCAGAAAACTACAGACCCATCAGCCTAACATCAATACTCAAGAAGATACTGGAAAAGATAATAAGAAAACAGATCTGCCAACATCTAGAAACAAGTAAAGTAATAACTAGAGATCAGCATGAGTTTGTTTAAAACAGATAATGCCAAACCAATCTTATTTCATTCTTCAACATAGTGACTAAATTACTAGACCAGCAAAATACTGTGGACATAATATACTTAAAACTTCAGCAAGGCATTTGACAAAGTAGACCACAACCTACTTGGTAAGCTAGAAAAAGTGGGTTAGATAGAATCACCACCAGATGCATTCGTAACTGGCTGACAAATTCTACCCAATGAATAGTCCTTAATGGGTCTACGTTTACATGGAGAGAAATAAGCAATGGAGTAGCACAAGGTTCTGTATTAGACCCAGTGATCTTCAATATCTTCATAAATGACTTAAATGAGGAAAGAAGTGGAACTTTACCAATTTTGCAGATGACACTAAGATAGCAGGAATAGCTAAAACCCTAAAAGATTTGAACACTGGGCCCTATCTAACAAAATGAAATTCAGTATAGAGTAAAATAAAGTCTTGTACAAGAAACACCAAAAGTACACGTATAGACTGGGTGAAACCAGGCTTAATAGCAGTTACTGTGAAAGGGATCTTGGAGTCTTAGTGGATAACCATAGTTAGGGTTAGGCCAGACAAGGAATAATGGATGGAAACTGATCAAGGAGAGATTCAACCTAGATATAAGAAGAAACTTTCTGACAGTGGGAACGATCAGCCAATGGAACAACTTGCCTTCTGAAGTTGTGGGCGCTTCATCACTGAAGGCTTTCAAGAAGAGATTGGACTGACATTTGTCAGAAATGATAAAGGGTCTTTTGCTTGGGTAAGGGGTTGGACTAGATGACTTACAAGGTCTCTTCCAACTCTGTTAATCTGTCTTCAGCCCTTCAAATCTGATACATTCTCTGTAATGGTATGATTTTGAAAAGCCTACAAACCCACTGGCACACCCAATGGCTGCTTTAGAGGTTGTAATGTTAAAAGGAAAATTGTAGCTTAGTTGTCCAGTTTGAAACATCCTAAACATTCCTTCTCTCAGACTGGCAGCAATGGAGAAAAACATCCCTGAATCTGAAAAGAATACCAATAAAAACAGATCCTGTTTAGCCATTCTAATTTTTTAACTGTGCCTAATGAAATGTCATTCTTTCGTCAAATTTAGAACTGGAGCAGAAAGCAATACAACAAATAAATTAAGAGGCAGAAACCTAATTGCAGCTCACATCATCAGAGTCATAGAGTGCATGGGCTGATGTACGACTCAAACTGAAATTCTAAATTTGTAATGAGGGAAACTAAGGAAGACGGATTGGTCACAGAGACCATAAAAGAGGAATTACAAGTTAACAATTGTAGTGCGTTAGAAACCCATTGTATGTGTGAAGTCATCACTGACAAGAGTTGGGAAATGAAATTTACATAATCTTATTACATTCATTTATTATTAAACTTATTTGCTGCCCATCTCAGTTTGACCCGTGACCCTTGCCTTGCCCTATTATTCATAGCAACACTGACAATACCCATTTTTTTCTTGTCAAATGCTTCTATTAATTCTAACATAATGCATTTTGAAAAATGAGATATTTTCTGTTGTGCATATTTTCCCTCATGTTAAGGTAGCAAAACAGAGGTTTGTCCCTCTTCTGCATTATCAGTGTGGACAGTGTGGCAAAATAGCATCCGCTTCCACAAGTAATAATTCCGCAAATATAATTTCTTGATTAATGTTTCATCCACCACTAACAGTATTTGACCAAATGTTGTTTGCTCTTTATAAAAGCCATATATCTTAACATCTTTCTCATATCTTGGTTGCATCTGCATATGTGGCCACCATGATAAATCAACATTCTGTTTCTGTGGTTCTTGTTTAGCTTTTAGTTCCCCTGCAAAGAAAATATCTCTAGTGATTTTTTTTAAAGATTTACTACATTTGGTTGAACAAATGCTTCCATTTTCAAACAGAATTCAAGCTATCAATTTACCACCTACACATTCAATGGGAGATGATAAATGAAATTCAAGCATTTCCTAAATTCAATTACTTTTCCTCATATTTGTTTGCAATATTTATTTGTGTGCAATAAGGAATGATTTATGCTTAAAACAATGTCTACAGACTGGACAATTCAAAGATTACTCCATGGTGTGAATACTCCGGTGTATCACTAGATAGGAATTCTGACTGAAACATTTCCTACAATCAGGACATTCACAGGGGTTCTATCCTGTGCGAGTCCTCTGCTGTATCATCAGTGCGGAATGGCGACTAAAACCTTCCCCCAAAATAGGACATTCAAAGGGTTTCTCTTCACTGTGAGTCCACTAGTGTTTCACCAGGCTGGAATTATCACTAAAACTTTTCCCCCAGTTAGGACATTCAAAGGGTTTCTCTCCTGTGTATACTCTGGTGTTTCACCAGACTGGAATTACCACTAAAACTTTTCCCACAGATAGGACATTCAAAGGGTTTCTCTCCTGTATGAGTCCTCTGGTGTTTCACCAGACTGGAATTACAACTAAAACTTTTCCCACATATAGGACATTCATAGGGTTTCTCTCCTGTATGAGACCTCTGGTGTACCACCAGGCCGGAATTCTCACTAAATCTTTTCCCACAGATAGGACATTTGTAGGGTTTCTCTCCAGTGTGAGTCCTCTGGTGTCTCATGAGATTGGAATTTGTAATGAAACATTTCCCACAATCAGGACATTCACAGGGTTTCTCTCCTGTATGAATCCACTGGTGTATTACCAGGTGTGAATTGCGGCTAAAACTTTTCCCACAAATAGGGCATTCAAAGGGTTTCTCTCCTGTGTGAGTTCTCTGGTGTATTACCAGTTCAGAATTGCGACTAAAAATTTTCCCACAAATAGGACATTCAAAAGGTTTCTCTCCTGTGTGAGCCCTCTGATGTAACACCAGGCTGGAATTCTCAATGAAACTTTTCCCACAGTCAGGACATTCAAAGGGTTTCTCTCGTGTGTGACTCCTCTGGTGTCTCATGAGGCTGGAATTTGTAATGAAACATTTCCCACAATCAGGACATTCAAAAGGTTTCTCTCCTGTGTGCGTCCACTGGTGTATTACGAGGTGGGAATTACGACTAAAACCTTTCCCACAAGTAGGACATTCAAAGGGTTTCTCTCCTGTGTGAGTCCTCTGGTGTATTACCAGTTCGGAATTGCGATTAAAATTTTTCCCACAAATAGGACATTCAAAGGGTTTCTCTCCTGTGTGAGTCCTGTGGTGTATTACGAGTTCGGAATTGCGACTAAAACTTTCCCCACAAATAGGACAGTGAAAGGGTTTCTCTCCTGTGTGAGTCCTCTGGTGTATCATCAAGTTGGAATTCTGTCTGAAACTTTTCCCACAATCAGGACATTCAAAGGGTTTCTTTCCTGTGTGAATCCTCTGGTGTATTACCAGGTTGGAATTTTCCCTAAAACTTTTCCCACAGATAGCACATTCAAAGGGTTTCTCTCCTGTATGTATCCTCTGGTGTATTATCAGGTGGGAATTGCGATTAAAACCTTTCCCACAAATAGAACATTTAAATGGTTTTTCTCCTGTGTGAGTCCTGTGGTGTTTCACCAGGCTGGAATTATCACTGAAACATTTCCCACAGTCAGGACATTCAAAGGGTTTCTCTCCTGTGTGAGTCCTCTGGTGTCTCATGAGGCTGGAATTTGTAATGAAACATTTCCCACAATCAGGGCATTCAAAGGGTTTCTCTCCTGTGTGAGTCCTCTGATGTATTACTTGGTAGGAACTGCGACTAAAACCTTTCCCACAAATGGGACATTCAAAGGATTTATCTCCTGTGTGAGTCCTCTGGTGTTTCACCATGCTGGAATTATCACTAAAACTTTTCCCACAGATAAGAAATTCAAAGAGCTTCTCTCCTGTGTGAGTCCTCTGGCATATCATCGTGTTGGAATTCTGATTGAAAGTTTCTGCATAAATAGGACATTCAAAATGTTTCTGTCTTGTGTGAATCCTCTGGTGTTTCACCAGGTTGGAATTATTACCAAAACGTTTCCAACAAATAGGACATTCAAAGGGTTTCTCTCCTGTATGAGTCCTCTGATGTATTACCAGGTGGGAATTGCGACTAAAACTTTTCCCACAAATAGGACATTCAAAGAGTTTCTCTACTGTGTGAGTCCTCTGGTGCATCATCATGTTGGAATTCTGAGCGAAAGTTTCCACATAGATAGGACATTCAAAGGATTTCTCTCCTGCGTGCATGCTCATGTCTGAAGAGGGGGAAATCTGTATTGAAACCTTTCCCACAATCTCAACACTCACAGGGTTTCTCCTGCAGTGAACCCTCTGATGTATTACAAAGCTGCAATTATTACTGGAACTTCCTACAATCAGGACATTGAAAGGGTTTTCTCCTTTTGATTCCTCTGATGTATCACCAAGTTGAAAGTTTTGCAACAATCAGGACATTCAAAGCTTTTCTCTCCTATTAGAGTCTTCTAGTATATCACCAGACTGGAATTTTGACTTTCCCATAATCAGGACATCAAAGGGCTTCTCTTCTGTGTGAGTTCTCTGGTGTCTCATAATATGAAAATATCTAATGAAGCTTTTCCCACTATCTAGACACTCATACAGTTTCTCCTTGGAGTCAATCCACTCATGCATTACTAGAGTGGAATTGTGACAATGCCTTGTTTAGTGGTGCTTTCATTCAAGCCATTTTCTTCCTCACAGGGAGAGGCCTATATTCCTGTCTGCTCCACATGGCTTTACTATTCACCTTTTCCTCCAAATGACTTCCAGATATGCTGAATGAAAAATAATCGACCTTGACATTTTATGTAATATATCCTTGAGTTGTGCATAATCTGCTTATTGGCTTGAAATCTTTTTTAATTTTCTGTCATTTGTCTAACAACTTCCGGAGGAGGAGGAGGAGTATTATGTGGTTTTCTGAAGGAAATGGAAAATATTTTGATTTCTGGCTTGATTCATTAAAACTTTTCAATGTTGCTAGTTATCTGCAGTTGTCCTGAGTGTTCTTATTGCCATATTCTTTGTCTGTAAGATTCAAAGAAAAGTGTAACATTAATTATTTATGAAATGTTTAAGGCTGATGTGAAAAAAGTAAAAAGTAAATATAACAATGTAAAAGCAAACATGCCCCAATACTAATCACTTACTTACTTTATTTATGAATCATTTGACACATGAAAGACTATTGAGATCCACGTTTAAATATACATTCAATCAAATTCAGTTGTTTAATTGGGTCAATCACAAATTCTTAGCAACACAAAGGACTATCATCAATTATAGCTTGAAGTACTGGGGATAGATGATATAATTGCAGACATATCCCCACAGAGAAATAAAATCTATGTCTTTCGAGTTTGATATACTGTCCCAGAATGTTTACATCCAAACCTTCTGAGCTATTTACAGATGTTTTCTGTCCATGGAGTCCTCAGCTGCAAATAAGAGCAGAAAACAGTGTTCACAAGTTCTCTGGTGGCATCCCCATTGAAATTGTCCTCACTTAACCTACCACAATTGGAACTGATATTTGCATCATTAAACAGCTCAATCAAAATCAGTGTAGGTTGTTAAAGGCAATTCCATATGACTGTGACTTGCAATTTCCTGCCTGTATACCCAATGATTTTGCTTGTGATAAGCTAGCTGGGAAGGTCACAAATGGAGATTTTGAGTGTTTGATGCTGCCGCCATCATAAATGTGCAACTATGTGCAGAACCCAAATTGGTGCAACTTCTTTTCCTGGACCTTCAAAACCACAGTCACTGCTGATGTGCAGTGCTGACAGTGAGAAAAATTGTGGTTCAGAAATAGTAGAGGGGTTTTTGCTCTGCCAGATGGGGAATTAAACATGTTGAAAAATAAAAGAATATTGACAATTGAAGGACATGACTTAAAATTAGAGTGGCACACATCTTTATGGGATGGGAAAAATAAGACGCACAGTTATTTCCAAAGACACCAAATAATAAATGCATTGCTATTAATTTGGGAAAAGATTAAAAGGAATCATGATAAAATTCCGATCTGGTTATCAACCATGGAGGCATCAATATATCCAAATGTGTTGGTTCTAGGTAAGATAGTAAGGTATAAGGATATCTTAAACAGGCAAGGGATATAAAAAACAAAACAAGAATTAAAAGAACAAGGAATCGAAGTAAAGTGGTGGACATATATGCAAATACAAACAAGATTCAAGAAAGATGTACAAAGGTATGGGATTCGTAGAGAACTATCACAATTAGATAAACTACAAGATCCTAAGGAGAAATTGATTAATAAATTATATAATTATTTGTTGGAATATAAGATGGAGGAAGAGAGGGTTAAAAAAGAGATGAAAAAAATTTGGCTACACAACAGCATTGGAGAAATGGGAAAAAAATGTAGGAAAAGAATTATAAATTGATGATGTTGGCAGCATTTAGAGAAAATTTATAATTAAAATGTTCTACAGATTGCACCTACCCCCTGCTCGATTAGCCAAAATGCTCCCAAACAGACCATCTGAATGTTGGAAAGGCAAACAAAAGCAAGGAACATATTACCATGCGTGGTGGACATGCTCTGTAGCAAGAAAATACTGGATAACGACAAAAAAATGGATAGAAGAAACATATAAACAACAAATTGAACTGAGACCGGTGACATTTCTATGAGGTATAATAATAGGAAAATATGATAAGAAAACAGAATACCTAATGCTACATCAATAAATGGCAGCAAGAATAACTTAAGCACAAAATTAGAAAAGGTCGTATGCCACTAGAGGAAAATGTGATACAAAAGATGCTAGAGTGTGCCGAGAAGGATAAGTTGACCATGGAGATAAAAGACAGAGAGGAAGTGGATTATTTTTTGATGTGGAATGCATTGTATGTTTGGCTAAATAATAGATATGGAGATAAATAGAGAAGATGACAATAGGATAATAAAGCAAAGGCTACAGTGGACAAAGATAGATTAAGGAACATAAGACAAATGTACAGATAGTTAAGATTTATATAAATGTATGTATACTGTCACAGAAGTATTGCAATGAATGGAAATGATGTACTATATATACAAAAAATTGTTTAATATATATTATTAATATATTATTAAACTTAATTGCTGGCCATCTCAGAGTTTGAGTTTGAGGCAACTCTGAGTGTCCTGCCTTGCCCTAATGCTCATAGCAACACTGACAATACCCATTTTTTACATGCCAAATGCTTCTGATAATACTAAAATAATGCATTTTGAAAAATGAGACATTTTCTATTGTACATTTTTTTCCTCATATTAAGGTAGCAAAACAGAGGTTTGTCCCTCTTCTGCATTATCAGTCTGGACAGTGTGGCAAAATGGCAGCCGCTTCGCCAAGTCCACCGCATGACCCAGGGATGAATCCAGGGCCCACTGAAAATGGTGGCTGGTTTCAGGACGCAGTCATGAGGCCCAAGGATGCGTTTCATTCCCTCCCTCCGCAACATGAAGATCAGAGATCTTCCAAAGGCAAGGAGGAGGAGGAGGAGGGTATGAGGCCAGGTGGGGTGGCAGTCAGGCCTGAGGACTGCAGGGACCCAGCAGGAGTGGGGAAAATCCTGTGGGACCCCTGGGGAGCTGAGGGAAGGGGCAGGGATGGGAAACAGAACATAGGGAGTCTTGGAGGGTGGTGGGGGAGCCCCAGGGATGCCTGTGGCAGGCAAGCCTGGCCCTGCTCTAGGCCTCTAAGCGTTTTCCCCAGCCCTGAGGTAGCGAGTATTCTGTTTAGCAACTCACACATTCAATTAATGGCTGCCTCAGGGAGAGCAGGAGATTCAGGTAGTTAAGGAAAGCCGTCTCACTTAAAAGTCTTTGCAACATGTAACCGTAATTGCAAGGCCCATAATAGTTGTATCTTGAGGATTATTTTTATGATGGCTGGGGAATTTGGGGTGAGACCAATTTAGAAGACTGAAACCCGAACATGTGGGAATTACATAATCAAAATACAAAAATGCTCCACCCAAAATTCCTTTTTGAGGAAGTCTTCTGGAAAAGGAAATATCCAGAAGCTTCTGCTGATAACCAGAAACGATTAGTTAGCCATTTTACATTTCTCCCCACCAAGTTTAATCCTGAGAAACGTCTGAGTAAAATGAATCAGGCCAAAATTCAAACAATCAATTTTTCATCT